CGTTTACAGTGGAAAATAAAGCTTCAAGCTAGAGGCTTGAAGTTCCTGTAGAAGTGCTTATTTTTACAGGATGGGCTTGCTAGCAACATGCCCAACCTTTCCTCTTTACCAGCTGTATTACTGCCATAGCAAGGTGAAGGAGTTTGTCGGCAGGTGATCGTACTCCGGACCAGGTGCATGATCGGCGAGAGTCATAACCGCTGTAATATGGAAGAGCAATATAATTTTGTTGGATATCATAAATCACAAAGAGTATATGCATCTGTGCCATTGAGAAAGATTTGAGCCATAAAAAAAATTTGTTTTTACCATACCGAAAGTGCACAAGAAAAACATCTCTTCGACCAATTATCGATATGATAAATTCACCGTATCATCGCCCTGCCGAATGGCTAGTAGACCTACCAAAACCAGTCAGAAGGCGAATTTCCCGTCACTCACTCCGAGATTCCCTCGATTTTGTCAATTTCATTGAAAACGTCAATGTTTCTAATCAAACGATGTTGTCACTAGTTGTGGTATCACTGTTTACGAATGTCCCACTAACTGAAACAATATGCTATAGATGCGAAAATATTGATTCAAAGGAGATAAATATTGGGATATCCACTGAACATTTGAAGAAACATTTATTGAGATGTACCCTAAACGTCCACTTCCCCTTCAATAACGAAATATATCGGCAAAAAGATGTCATAGCTATCCGCTCACCACCTGGCCCATGGCTTGGAGACTGTTCCATGTTAAAACTAGGAAACATACATCTAAAGAAAATGATTGACAAATTCGGGTTCTATAAGGGATACGCGGAGGACACTTTCATTACCTCCAACATTAAGGAGAACATCTTGGACTTCTTCAACAGCTGCCATCCAGCAATTGAGTTCACACTAAAGAAGGAATCCGATACAAAAGTATCTAACCTGGACGTCCAGTTAACAAGACGTGAACAAGATGGGACATTAAATAGATCCATCTACAGAAGGCCAGCATGGAACGGAAAACTTACTAACTTTCACAGTCGAGTGCCCCTACATAAAAAACGAAACCTACTTCATTCACTAAGCCACAAAATCCGCAGACCTGATACTATAGAAGAGCAGCTGAACACTCTGAAGAGAACCCTACTCGAAAATGGCTACCCAGAACATTTCACCACAAAATCCGTGAGATTAAAACCACCCACACTTTTTATTTCCAATGAACGTCTCTACCTGAATCTGCAGTCCGATGGAGATTCATCAGCAGAAATACTGAGAAACCACCTGTCCTGCTCACTGAAGAAAACCTTCTCCCAGAATAAACTCCAACTAACCTTCTTTATGAAACCAGTGATTCGCATGAACGTGAAGGATAAGCTATCACTGTTGTCCTCATCAATGTGTATCTACCAATTCACCTGCTCGTGTGGAGCTACGTACGTCGAGTGCACCCAGAGTCTACTATCCAAACGTATCGTCGAACGTTCAAACTTATGGTTTTATAAAGCAGAAGAAAGATTCCCTCACAGCTCTATTCTGCAACACGTGATCGAATTTGGACACCAAGCTAATCCACAAAGTAACTTCAAAGTTATCTGCAGAATACGGGGGAATCTCGCTCATAGAGTACGAATCAAACTTATTTAAACCTCAGAAGCAATGTCGATTCACATATTAGATCCTGAACTCTGCATACAAAAGAAGTTTGTCCAGTCATTAAATCTACAACGGACCTGGTCTATCTTGACACCAAATACGTAATGTTTGTTTTTGTTTCTTAGTTCTATTATTTTTCCCCTCAACCCCTATTAAATCTCTATCCCTTATTACCACTGTTGTTAACTTGACTCTCGTTCAAATTCTAGTTCAATTCCACTCAGCCTCGTCAATTAGACTACGTCACTCAACTTACTTATTTGATTTTATTCTAGTTTCTACCCAACATATTTAGAACAGGGCATAAAAAGCGAACAGCATTGTTGTATTCGATTAGATCTCCTTCAGGATTTACTGTAAGGAGACCTAACTGAAGAGGATATTGTTTGCTTTTATGCTTAGTTTCAAAAATGTGCGTCGGTGGTACAGCGGTTATGACTCTCGCCGATCATGCACCTGGTCCGGAGTACGATCACCTGCCGACGCACACCAGATATCTATGGTCGGCCTACAAAATTTGGGCTACCGATATCACATGCTGAAATTTGCATATCTGTACCGAAAATACGATGTAGTATCAAGCTGTAATAAAAAAAAAATAGATTAATGCTTTCCACATCACGTAATTTGTTATCGGAAAAAATAACAATTCTAGTGACATTTCTTTGGAAATATTTCTTTTGTTGCTAAGACAATTTAATATATATATATACATATACTTGTCCATCGGTGGCACAGTGGTTAGGACGCTCACCGACCATACACCTGGTCCGGAGTACGATCACCTGCCGACAAACTCCTTCACCTTGCTATGGCAGTAATACAGCTGGTAAAGAGGAAAGGTTGGGCATGTTGCTAGCAAGCCCATCCTGTAAAAATAAGCACTTCTACAGGAACTTCAAGCCTCTAGCTTGAAGCTTTATTTTCCACTGTAAACGTGACGGAATAATATTTATATATATGTATACATGCGATTGTACAGCTTGAGAAGGTTTTTTGCTGAAAATAGTAACTCTTTTCTAAGTACGTTTTTCATATGGCTCAATAGGGATTTTCAAGTTACTTATACGTAGCCTTGAATAAGTCATTGTTACAATAAGTGAATTACCTGAAGCAATTGAATAGAAATAAACATTATAGAACATGTGTGATATGTAGGGTTACTGTACTCAATTTGAAGAAAGGTGATGATTACTGTCTTATTTGTTTATTGAATGATGTGCCCGAGAGTTTCAATTTTTTTAGTATGATGAACGTAGTGCTTTATTTAATGTCCATCAAAGCAGAATTTGATTGGTTTCTGTATTATGATACTGAGTGCAGGTTTGAGATCGGCACATTCAGAAGTAGCTTTTACTGTGGAGGAGAAAACTAAGATATCGGCACTGATGTTTTTTTTCAGGAGAAAGATTTTGATAAATTTCTAGACGCGAAAACAGAGTCATAATAAGATAAAAGTCATTTCCAAACATACACTAAATATAATGGTGTGCAGTTCATTGATGGATAAAAATATTCGACTGTCTGTTGAATCATATATACTTCCGAGCCGATTTGGCATTCATATTTTTAAAATGTGGCATCTTTCTTAATACTGTTCAGTCGCTGATGTATTACATTTTACATTATTTATGTGTGCACTCACCTCATCACAAAATTTGGATAGTGTAATTTATATTGTCATAGCTAACGCTTTAGGAGGCATCCATAATAATGACGCAGACTTAAAGTTTTCTCAGTCATGATGAACAGATTTATCATGTATGAAGTAGGCTTCAGATATATTCTGTGTTCAGTAATGTGCAGTAAAAATGAATCATCTAATCATCTCACATGACCAGCTTTAGCTACACGGAGAAAGGTAAGCCGTAAAAAGTGATACTGATTTATAAACCGCCTATTTAAAAATTATAAGTAGTACTTGATTTAGCCAACAAAAACATTTCCTTGGTTACACAAACGGTTTTTATATAATTGAAAGCAAGTCAACAGTGTAAATTCAAAAATTTCGAAACAGTGAATACTTTTCATTGTGAATGAAACACTTCTGTAGAAAACCCTTATAAGTAGTCAAAGAATCTAATAGTGGTGATTGTATGGTGGTACCTTAGAAACTTAATTAGTTAAAGTCAACAGTTTACTAATAATCCCAAACAAGACTGCCGAAAAAGTAAACGCTTCTTCATGGAGAATATAAATGCAATATGAATACTGTCTCCGTCTGTCTGTTTTCGACATAGAACTTTGCACCGATGTGCGACAGTTCAAGTCGCCACACTCCCTCCCTGTAGCACACAAACCAAGAGAAGAAAGTGCAAGAAATGCATATTAGAGACAGTAAACAGAGGTGTGAGACAAAGGAATAGTAATAACGAAGAACAAAACAGTTTCGTTGGAAATCATAAGTCACAAGGAGTGGATGCATGTGCGCTGTGCATTGAGAACGATTTTGAGCCATGTCACCAATAGTTTCCAAACCACTGGTTTTTACCATCTCGAGGACCCCAACCAGCCAAGAAGTCTACACCTTCCTACGTGGCTTAGACTAACTGTTGTAGATTTCATTGACTGGTGCCATGTTTTGGTTTGACCTCCGCTAGCTCTTCTCCAGCCTGGCCCTATGTTAGCTAACATTACCCATTGTCGAGGAAGGCGATGACTAGGCATACGTAACACATGTCCTAACTATCTCAGTCGATGTAATTTCACAGCCTCGTCGATTGATTTCCCCTCCCACCTACCTAGCACTCGACCAGTGCCTAACCTCAATATTGCTCACCTTATTATACCACTTCACACAGGAGATAGAGCGCAGGCATCTATTATCAAAGACAGCTAATCTTTTCACGTCTTCCACTCTCAATGGTCAGGTTTCACTAGCAGCCATAAAGGAGGACGGAGCGGACTGATGAGCAGTATGCACTCCCTTTGGTCGACAGCCGGCCGGATATCAGGTCTACGAAGCCATAGACGGTGTAAACTGGTATATGCGAAACTAGCCCTCTGTATCCGTGCTGAGATTTCGTCGGCTTGTGTACTTATTAGGTAGAGTATCCATAGTCGTTTGTTTTCTTTCTACTAATATTTCGCTTCTGCCTGTTTGCTTAGTCTTCCTCTCTGCATCAGTATGAAGTGTGTCAGTATGCAACCATACTTGGTTGTGTGTTAGTGTGTATCAGGTTGGTAATACAAATTGAACATATTGTTTGACATCCTAAATCCCCGCTTTCTTAATGCCTTGTGTTTTTATTTGTATAATCAATTATTTATTATTCACAACCCTTTATTTTTCAAATTCCTAAGGTTCTTGAAGAGCTAACAGTGGTTTTGAATCGGTCAACTTATGACTCAAGCCACCTGATCATGATTTCAGGATCTGGGACTGTGTTCAGCTCTGGAATCGACCTGACTACTATTACCGGAGATCTTTTAACAAATGCATTTATCGGTCCACATTCATGTGATTCCTCCCAAAGTTCATCTACAAGTTCGAGTAATGTATGCGCGTCTCGTAATTCAAACAATGGTAAAAAAGCTGGGATTGATATTTCCAAATCAACTCTTGTCAGTCATTCTGGTTGTTCACATTCTCAGTCGAGTTCGGATTCGAATTCTTCAAACCAGAAAAATATAAATGAAGTTAATTCGTTTTTCAGTTCATTTCTAAATCCTGAAAATATTGAACGTCTGGTTAAAGCCTTAAGGTCATTCCTGTTATCATTAGTATCATTTCCAAAACCTATTGTTGTTGGTGTAAACGGTCCAGCTATGGGGCTCGCTGTTGCTATATTACCGTTGTGTGACATTGTTTACGTTAGTGATTCAGCCACATTTTATATGCCATACACTCGCCTTGGCCAAATCCCTGAAGCAGCATCAACTTATACTCTAAGCAGTCTCATCGGTATGCCTTTGGTAAGTTACTCTAAAACTTTTTTTTCATAGGGTGTTGTCATTCACTGTGTTTCATGCCCTTTTTCGCCACTTTGTTAACGTGCTATTACATGTTCGCTGCACTAAACCTTTTTGTTGCACGACATCTTAATGATAAGTGATAAGTTCGTCCTATCATTATTATTATATTGGTCATTCTAATCAAAGCGCATACCGACAGACGCCATGCTGACTTAGTAGCCGAACTCGTGTATCATCTTGCTCTGTGGCTTTTGTTTCTGTCAGTAGGATCCGCTAAGTAGAAATATGATTCAGCGACTACTAAAACCAGTAGAAACAAACAGTTTGCAATAAAATCTGTGTCACCTCTCTGAGTTTTCTCAAAATCAGTCTTCGTTCCAAGACAAAATCCCATGGCTCATTGACTGAAGTTTTTATAGTGTCCAGATGAGTCAATTTGTGAGAATACGGAAAGGTAGTTGTGTTAACTAGTGTTTGTTCATGATCTGCCACCACAGAAATATAATGATTGTTGGACGCCTGCAAGAATGCCTATGTTCTAGAATCTGTCAAAGGGTCAGGATACGATCAATACACCTTCCTGATCTAAAGCCCGCCTGGTTCTCTCGTGTTTATTCCTTCCGTGGACCGCATAGTCTCCGCATAATCATTGAGCCTCGAACTTTAGATACGGTATTAGTCAGGCTAACCCCTCTGTGCTTATCACAGGAAGACTTGTCTCCCTTGTATATGGGGATAATCAATGACTTACACCAGCCTGACGGGACTATCTCTGATTCCCAGACGCTTCCTAGTACCTCAGTTAACTCAGACAGTAAACTGCCTCCGCCATCCTTAAACATCTCTGGGTCCCTCAGCTTTGCCTCGTTTCAGACCAGTGACATCTTTTTTAACCTCAGTTAGGGATGGAGGACCTGTGTCTATGTCCCATTCAGCGAGGTGTTGGATGCTAGGTAGGTTGAGCGTGGCTGTAGGCCAATTAAACTGCTCCTCAAAGTGTTCGCCCCAACTTCCTAGTCGTCTATCCTGGGAGCTAATTATGGTGCCATTTTTCTCAGAGATTGTTTCATTTGTCATTTGCCTTTTCCCCCCTTTTTCCCTGATAAGTCTCAATAGTTGTCTGGCATTACCAATCGCCGGTGCCTTTTCTATCTCTGTCTTTTGTCGCCCACCACTGTTCACGGTCTTTATGAAGATTTCTTGTTAGTTTTCGTTTGAGTAGCTTTCGCTCGTCATCATAATCGGGGCTCGCCGGAATCAGTCTTCTTGTGTCAATCAGTTGGGATGAGGTGGAAGAAATCCAATGGCTCTTGCTGACTTTTAGTTTCAGGGTATTAACAGATTTTGCAGCTGTGTCAAAAAGTAGCTGTTTATTGTCCCAGACTTCCTCAGGAGGAGTCTTACCATGGACCTCAGGTACCCGTTTCGCTATTTCTTCCTTAAATAGGGACTCAGTGTCTTGATGTAGTTGGGAGCGTAACTGCTTCGCCGCGAACAAGTTTTTATATATCCGTTTAGTCGTAAGCATAAACGTGCGCGAATCAGGGTGGGATCAGAGTCTACACACATGTTTCAGAAGGAGCGGCAGTCTTCTACTGACCCTCACAAACGATACCCTATGACTATGTGGTCTATCTGAGTCCAGCGTTGATTTGGTGATGGAGGTCGCCAGGTTACACACTGTCTCTGTTTGTGCCTAAAGTTAGTGCTGACTAGGAACAGATGATTATCTGAGCAGAACTGTAGAAGACGTTCACCATTGTCGGTTCGTCTGGAGGGAACTCCGTAAATACACCCTATGCACTTCTCAGTCTGGCACAATTTCCCTACTTGGGTATTGAGTTCGCCTGCTTAAACAAATATATCTGAACGTTTTTCTTTTCTCAGCGCATTAGACAGTTTGAGGTAGAAATTGTCCTTTAGTTTATCTGAACTGCATTCGGTCGGGGCGTGTGTGGAGAATGCGAAAAGGCAAAAACGGTAGCGCCGTCTTTCCTTCTTTTAACGGACCCATTCAGACGGGCCGCACACATACGACTACCTACTGGGATCCAGTCAAGAAGTGATTTTTCTGCCCTAACATTCAAAACTATCCCTACACCTGTGAGCCCTCGCGAACTAGCTGAGGGGTCTGCTGACACCCAGCAGTACGACTTCTCCCACAGATCCCCAGTATAGTGTAAGAAAGATTCTTACACTAAGCCGGCAACTGCTTTCAGTATAATTGCTATCCCAACAACTTTCCTGGCATGGTAGGACCTGCAGGGACATCGGTTCCAGCCAGTGTAGCTTCTTGGTTTATCGCGATGTGCAAGCCCGACCACCACATCAGGGTAGCTGCTATCGGTCGACCGATATGAATACTGCACAACCACATACATTTTTTCAGTGTATATGTGTGTGGGCGTGAGATTTTTCAATACATTTTTGTGTTCAACTTATGAAATCAATTTCCTTTGGAGGTTTACCTAAACTTTTTTTCATGAAGATGGAATCAGATAAACGAGTTTTCTTAAAGTACACCACTCAACGTTCAAGAAAAATTTTGAAATCAGGCTATGCCATGAATATTTACAGAGATAAGTGGTTTAACAACAGTTCAGTACGCATAGTTTAAATCAGGATGTTTATTGGTAATGTAAATGTAGCCATTAACTTGCAAATCATACAAATGAAAAATACTTGCTCAGTTTGCAATGGTTCGTTATAAGTATTAACACTTTGCTGAAATTCAATGAGCTTTATCCGATTCATAATGTGTAATACACACATGAATACGATAACAGTTTTTGTGGAGCATTGTAAGAGGCAATAAAATTTAGTATATGTGCTAACCCGTCATCGCGTAACTTCCTAAACTATTTTTCTCCGAAAATCATGATTTTCGTCTGCACTAGGAAATAACTAAGAGATAGTTTCAAACTTCACGTTACTAAGATACTATAATATCCCGCTTACAATACTGAAACGCATTTGCATGTATCTGATTCCACAAGGATTTACAAATTTATTCTCAGCTATTTTTAAACGGCTAATGTTACCAAGAAAATGAAAGGCGACTTATGGAAATTTCACAAAAAAGGTTTTCACATTTAAAAGGATTATTCACAGATATATTTTAAAGGAGAATAAAGGGTGTGTATATCATCTCTGTTCACACTCACAGTTAGTGCACACTCGGTCTACAATATAAATCTGAAAGAGAAACTTGGTGATTACATGAAAAATCGGTGAGGATTCATTAACTTAATTAGATTCTTATAAAACACTGTCGCTTCAGTGACTTGTGTATGCAGCCGTATGCCTATGAATTAATGAATATTGAAGAACATTAGGATATCTTTCCATGAATTGTAATGAAAAGTAGTGATTTACTGAATCAGCCGAATTCGAAGAAACTGCAACTTTGGATGCTGGCCAGTATATACAAATATTTGATTGACATCAAAAGCTGTTAACTGCTTAATTCCAATACAGGATTTTAATTATGAGTTATTTTTTGAGTGAAGTGAATTATGCTCTTATCTAAACAGTGTTATATGCAGGTGCTGGTGAAAAGTGTGAAGTGGCAAAAAAGGTATCGCTCAATAATTACTGATTTTACTTGGTAATGAAAACTAACTCTGTGTGTTCGTTTGTTTACGTATCAGTGAATACGTCTATTAAAACTTCATATTATTATTATTACTATTATGAACTAGTCATTCGCATATATTTTTTGACCTAACAGTTTTAGCATTGGATTACATATGAAAATAAACCCGCAGTCTAGCTGTTATTGTTACAATCATTCTGGCTAATTATACAACGACTTTGTTATTAAAACAAAATATGTCGCAAAGTATGTCTTTAAGTTTCAGAACAAGTTCACAATTTAGATATTATTTAAATGAGATTAAAATACCCTTTCTGCTATCATACATGAGTCTTTTAAAAATTTCCCTACAGGTAAGTAAAAGCATGAGTTTAAATGGAAGTCACCCATTTGGATACAGGACAGAAGCGTGAAGAAAACAGAACCATATGGATTCTTACGCCAGCCGAAAGGATATGAGATGAGTGACAATAGATGAAAACTATTCAGGTGTTTAAATTTTCAAGGACTACAGAGAGTCAAGCAATTAACAATAAAGCACTTTGCAGAACCCAAAGTTCCAAACTCCATAAAAAAAAGGCTAGGAAAGTTTCGTTATTCACTAGAAGTAAGGTTTCATACGATGGCACTCGTTGTTTGCGATTTGAATCAAACTGGTCGTCTTCGATAAAGATAATTCAAAATGCCGTTAAAATTATGTCTTTATTTGTTTTAATTGTTTATTTTTTTATTCTTTTACGTTCCCAGTGGAATATAGGGCTTCAAGCTAGAGGCTTGCAGTTTCGGTAGCAGGGGTGTTTGTTTTTTACGGGATGGGGTTGCTAGCCTCGTGCTCAACCTTCCCTCTCTTCACAAGTCTTATTACTGGCCTAGCGAGGTTTTAGAGTGGTGAACTACAAACTTTGATATCTGTAAACTAAGAGGCTGATGAAACATATTCAAATCAATAAGTGTTATTTATTGAAGTCCTAAAAAGATTTTGTCATTCTGAAGATTATTTCGAATGAAGATTGACCTAACATCATCATCATACTTAATAAGGTTACTCATGACGTCATTGTGAAAATATCTGCAAAGCTTTCCTATTATGCCAGCAATTCACCATTTACGTCAGACTTTATTTTTTTCCTCCAACATAAAGTATGGATGTCTACAGGCAGTCTGGATATGATTAAAACTGAGTGAATTATTTTCTTTTAACATTTGTAAATGGGGATTAAGATCTTCCTATCCAATTCTCGTAGTATAATCAAAAGGCTGAGTGACAAAGGCCTGTATTGTAATTTGGTGTTGAATGGTAGAAGTTAATCAAAATAATGCCGTATGTCTGTTTATTTACTATGAAGTATTTGTAATCGTTAAGATTTATTGCACACTAACTAATTATAATCTTCTAGTAGCGATAAACTACAACGTCATGCTACCCACATCTCAGAAATCATAATTAGTTATTTATTGAAAGCAACAATCACTAAGAGAATGCTGTTTTAATTGATAGCATCCTGATATGTACAGATATTCTTGTTAATCTTGCAGACGAACTTCCTGACCACGAAACACATCCAGTGCTGTCTGCTG